CCTCATCCTTCCAAAGACTTCAAAGCCTTTCCCTATGCGTTCTTATCGCTTTTATCTCATCACACCCTGTGCTGGCAGCCGACCATCCCTGCAGCTCATGCGTCCCCTCCGGGACCTGCTGGGGCCCGCCCCCCCCCAGGACGGGAGCCCTGAAATGCAGCCTTGGACCCCGCTGCTGAGCACACAGCAGGAGAGCGCGGGGGTCCCGTCCCCGTCCCCCAGCCGCCCCCCGAACCTGAGGGCTCTGCTTCTGGGAAGCAGGATGAGGAGCAGAGCAGGGCCAGGCCGTCACCCGTCTGCATCCGGAGGTGGTGACGCGCCGGCCTCACGTCACCGCCCTGGCAGCCAGGACTGGCTCCCGCCCGCGTGCTGCTGCCGGGTCCCAAAAGCGCAGTGAGTTCCCCCTTGGGAGATTGCTGAGGAACCGGTCAGACCGGGAGCCTGTTTCCTTCCCGGCTCCTGCTCCCTACCGGAGCGCCCCACACTTCCCGGTGGGGGCCAGACCCACGGGTGGGTTGTTGCACCCGCCGCCGGGCTCAGCCCCCGGGGAGACATTGAGTTTCCTCCAGCGCGCTCTGTGCTGCGGCAGAGGGCCTGGAGCTGGTCTCTGCTGGGGGACACGGGGACACGGGGACATGGGGGTCCTCCTTCCCGGGAGCAGGAAGGGAGCAGGTGCCCGGGGTGGGCAGGGGATGCGGCCGGATCCCGGCTGACTCAGGTCAGTGATACGAGCCCAGGCTGGTTTGCAGGTGGGGCTACTGGGGCCCTTCTCCCTGCGGCCACTGGAGCCCGCTGGGATTGCACGGGACCCAGCTGGGAGGAGACGGGGAAGAGCTGTTTTGCTCTGCCCTGCAGATGCGGTGAGGGGTACGGAGCCTCCATTGCCAGCAGAGCGGTGGCCCAGGCCTCTCTCGGCGTCCCCCCCCCGCCCTCAGGTGAGAGCCATCTTCAACCCCGCGCCAGGCCGCGCTGTGCCAGGCCGCGCTGTGCCAGGCTGCGCTGTGGGCCGAGGCAGGTTCAATGACCTGCCGGGTCCCGTCCCGGCTCTGTGCCTAGTGTTGCCGAGCCCCAGCTCGGGGGGACAGGGCCCAGGTGGAGCCGAGCAGGTCCTTGCACCAGGTGCAAGGAGGGCACAGCGTCATCACCCGCGGGGGAACAGGGGGCAAAGCTGGGGGGGGGGACGGGCTGGGCTGGGCTGGGCCGTGGGGAGGACGTGCTTCTCTGCAAGTCCCACGCTCCCGTGAGGTGTGTGGGAGAGGGAGGGCAGGGACCTCACCCTGCAGGAGGCGGAGGAGGGACGCCAGAGTCCGGGTACGAGGGTTTCGGGTCCCACCTCGCCGCTGATCCAAGCCTCTCCCCACAGCGCAGCAGAGGCGCCCCCTGGGCCCAGACACTGGGTCCCGAGCCATGGCACTGCTCACCCACCTCCTCGCCTGCACCTTTGGCATGGGCTCCTGGGTGGCCATCAATGGACTGTGGGTCGAGCTGCCACTGCTGGTGACGGTGCTGCCGGAGCAGTGGGACCTGCCTTCCTACATCACCATCATCATCCAGATGGCCAACGTGGGGCCGCTCTTCGTCAGCCTCATGCACCACTTTCGGCCTGGCTTGCTGAAGGAGACGGCTGTTATCTACGTGATCGTGTCCATCGGTGTTGCAGCCTGCTTGCTCCTGGCCTTCCTCTGGAACTACACATCCTACATCGCCAGGAGGTCCCATAGCACTGCCTTCCTGGTCCTCACCTTCTTCCTGGCCCTGGTGGACTGCACTTCCTCTGTCACCTTCCTGCCCTTCATGATGCAGCTGCAGCCCCAGTACCTGACCACCTTCTTCATAGGCGAGGGGCTCAGCGGGCTGATCCCTGCTCTCATCACCCTGGGCCAGGGCTCCGGCATCTCCAGCTGCTTCAATGAGTCCCATGTAGTCAACACCACCACTGGCAATGAGACCATCATCTACCAGCTGGAGACACGCTACCTCCCAGCCAACTTCTCCACCCTTGTCTTCTTCCTCCTCATGACTGTGATGATGCTGGCTTGCTTGCTGTCCTTCTTCTTCCTCACCAGGCAGCCCAAGATGTGGGAGCTCTCCCAGCGGCAGCTGTGTCCTGCCAACATCGTGTTGAGCTCATTTGACCAGCTCCCTGATGAGGGAGATGGCTCGCAGCTGAGTGGAGGCTGCCCATGTCCAAAGGATGCCAAGGAGCCTGGGGACATCCTGACAAAGAAGGTCTCATACACCCTGGCCAAGCTCACCTTCATCTACTTCCTCATCACTTGGGTGAGCACTCTGATGAACGGGGTCCTGCCATCTGTGCAGTCCTACTCCTGCCTGCCCTATGGCAACACCGCCTACCACCTCGCAGCCACGCTCAGCTCCATGGCCAACCCCCTCGCCTGCATCGTGGCCATGTTCCTGCCCAGCAGGTGGGTAGCGGGGCTCTGGGGGCTGCAGTGGAGTGCACCCTGGGGAATTCTGCCCCAGGAACGGCCCCTGCTTTGCCATGAGGTGGGGGGAGAAGACACCGGGTGGGAAAGGGTCCACAGAGTGCCGGTGCCCTGGTGGCAGAGACACCCCAGGAAAGGAGGATGGGGTCTGCACAGAGCGGATCAGCCCGTGCCACAGGTCTGTGCTGCTCACCCGGGCCAGGCTGGCAGCACTCCCTGATGTCACCCGCATGTCCCTTGCAGGTCCTTGGCCCTCCTGGGCATCCTCACCACGGTGGGGACAGGCTTTGGTGCCTACAACATGGCCATCGCGGTGATGAGCCCCTGCCCAATCCTCCAGCAGTCCAAGTGGGGCGATGCCACCATTGTAAGTCATGGGGTCCCTCTTGCCCGGGGAGGTCGCTGGGGCCACTCCTGGCTCCAGCCTCCCCGTAATGTCCCCTGTCCCCACAGTGGGGAACCCCTAAGCCCTGCTGACTGCTCTCCCCTCCCTGCGCTGCCAGGTCCTCTCCTGGGTCCTCTTCACCGGGACGCTCTCCTACGTGAAGGTGATGGCCGGGGTGATCCTGCGGGGCCGCAGCCACAACGCGCTGGTGTTGTACGGGGTGGTGGAGCAGGTGGGCTCCCTCCTGGGAGCCCTGATCATGTTCCCCCTCGTCAACATCTACGACTTCTTCGAATCCGCCGACTACTGCAACCTGCAGTGCCCAGCGTGAGGGGGACAGGCACCCCTGGACAGACCCTCTTGCCAACACGCACCCCCAAAACCAGTGAGGGAAAGGGGGGGGCGCCGGGAAGCAGCGCTGGAACCGGGGCAGCTGCAGGCACGTCTCCCCGCTGGTCTCTGCTGGGTCCCTGGGTGGGAACAACTCCGTGGCTTTGTCCCCAGTGCGGGCACGCACGGAGCGTCCCTGTTGCGTTCAAAGCAATAGAAGGTCTTTACTCAACCCTTGGCCTCCCTGGTGCTTGTGCCCCCCCTCAGGGAGGGGCTGCCTTTGCCAGTGCCCCCCTGGCCTGGGTACTGCTCAGATGGGGCCACGTCCCATCCCTTCCCCTGGGGAGGTCTTGCGCCGTTTGGCATCATGCCCCAAGGCCCCCCCGGGACCCCACGGGTGGGCACGGTGTCAGCTGTGCCCTGCGACACCGGCGGCGTTCCCGGCCCCATGCCGTGGCGGAGGCAGCAGCTGCCCCCCGGACGGTGGGTTTGCAGCCAGCTGCGGGCAGTGGGGACAAAGGTTCCTCCGGCAGGGCTGTGCTGGAGCCTGCCATGCCCTGGCCATGGGGAGAGGGATCGCAGGGGGGAACACAGGGAAGGGGGCTTTCACAAGGGTCCCAGTAGCAGCTGGGGAAACTGAGGCACGGTAGGACTGGGGGATCCTGCCTGTTGTTTGCCGTCCTCTGCTGTGGCCCCGTCCAGGCTTTTTTCTCCCTCCTGGTAGCCCTGTGCCCCCACTGCACCCCATCCCAGCCCCTGCTCACCCTGAGACAGGCAGAACTGGGGGTGCAGGGATGAGCCACGGCACAGCCCCACACCTGGAGCGGTGCCGGGCACAGCGCTGGCAGGGGGGGATGGCATGGCACCAGTGCCAGGGCTGTGCCACCTGGTATCCAACTGCACCCTGGCCGTGCCAGCCAGTGTGGGGGCCGGGTGAGCACTGGGACACGGTGGGGACAGGGGGTCGGGGGACAGCAGCAGCCCCCCAGGTACCCGCGCCCCACACGCGCCTGCGCCCCTTCCCCGGGGCACGAGGCAGCCGGGCCTTTGTCCCCGGCCCTTTGTCTGGCAATCTGCTCCCCGAGCCGGCGGCAGCGCCAGACCCGCGCCTGGCGTCCCTCAAAGCCACCGATTGGAGCCACTTTGGGGCTCCGGCTGCGGCCCGGCCGCCTCCGGGAAGGACGCGGCTGGAATAGCTAATAGCCAGCAGCCCCCTGAGCCGGCGGTGCCGGTGGGGGTCCCGCTGCTGAGGCAGCAGAGAGAGCAGGAGTGAGGGCAGTGGGCTTTGTGCCCCCCCCTCCAGCACCACTGGGCATCCCCCCCAGCATCTCCTGGCTGACCCCACAGCGGCACATGTCCAGGATGCTGCCCCATGGAGGATGAGGGGCAGGAGGGGGGTGCCGAGGACTGGTGGGAGACCTGGGGGCACTGCAGGGTGCTTTGTCCCATCCAGGGGGGACAATGTGTCCTATGGCCCTTGGTGGAAGATGGGGAGCTGAAGTGGGGGCCTGGCCCCTCTCCCCCTGCACCCCGAGAGGATGCTCCTGCTCTTGGAAGCCCCCAGAGACCCTTGCACACTGGACGCCCGCCACCCCCTCCCTCTTGCCGGGGAAACAATTGCCTCCAATGGGAATTATTTCCATACAGCTGCTCAGGAAGGCACGAATTCAGCCCTCTCCCGGCCGCGGGACCCCACAGCGGCACATGTCCAGGATGCTGCCCCATGGAGGATGAGGGGCAGGAGGGGGGTGCCGAGGACTGGTGGGAGACCTGGGGGCACTGCAGGGTGCTTTGTCCCATCCAGGAGGGGGGTGCCGAGGACTGGTGGGAGACATGGGGGCACCACAGGGTGCTTCGTCCCATCTAGGGGGGACAATGTGTCCTATGGCCCTTGCTGGAAGATGGGGAGCTGAAGTGGGGGCCTGGCCCCTCTCCCCCTGCACCCCGAGAGGATGCTCCTGCTCTTGGAAGCCCCCAGAGACCCTTGCACACTGGGAGCCCCAGCCTCAGGAACAGGCTGGGGAGGGAGAAGGGGGGGCCTGTGGGGTGCCCTGGCATGTGGGATGATGTGGGATGTGGGATGCCGTGGGGTCTAGGATGCTGTGGGATGTTGTGGGATGCTGTGGGATGTAGGATGCTGTGGGATGTGGGATGCTGTGGGATGTGGGGTGTGGGGTGCGGGATGTTGTGGGGATGTGGGGTGCTGTGGGGATGTGGGATGCTGTGGGATGTGGGGTGCAGGATGCTGTGGGGATGTGGGATGCTGTGGGGATGTGGGATGCTGTGGGATGTGGGATGCTGTGGGATGCTATGGGATGCTGTGGGATGTAGGATCCTGTGGGATGTGGGGTGCAGGATGCTGTGGGGATGTGGGATGCTGTGAGTTATGGGATGCTGTGGGCTGTGGGATGCCGTGGGCTACTGTGGGCTCTCTTGGGCTGTGGGCTATGGGATGCTGCAGGATGCTGTGGGATGCGGGATGCTGTGAGCTATGGGGTACTCAGGGCTGTGGGATGCTGTGGGCTCTCTTGGGCTGTGGGATGCTGCAGGATGCTGTGGGATGTGGGATGCTGTGAGCTATGGGGTACTCAGGGCTGTGGAGGCTGGGGAGGGAGAAGGGGGGGCCTGTGGGGTGCCCTGGCATGTGGGATGATGTGGGATGTGGGATGCCGTGGGGTCTAGGATGCTGTGGGATGTTGTGGGATGCTGTGGGATGTAGGATGCTGTGGGATGTGGGATGCTGTGGGATGTGGGGTGTGGGGTGCGGGATGTTGTGGGGATGTGGGGTGCTGTGGGGATGTGGGATGCTGTGGGATGTGGGGTGCAGGATGCTGTGGGGATGTGGGATGCTGTGGGGATGTGGGATGCTGTGGGATGTGGGATGCTGTGGGATGCTATGGGATGCTGTGGGATGTAGGATCCTGTGGGATGTGGGGTGCAGGATGCTGTGGGGATGTGGGATGCTGTGAGTTATGGGATGCTGTGGGCTGTGGGATGCCGTGGGCTACTGTGGGCTCTCTTGGCCTGTGGGCTATGGGATGCTGCAGGATGCTGTGGGATGCGGGATGCTGTGAGCTATGGGGTACTCAGGGCTGTGGGATGCTGTGGGCTCTCTTGGGCTGTGGGATGCTGCAGGATGCTGTGGGATGTGGGATGCTGTGAGCTATGGGGTACTCAGGGCTGTGGGATGCTGTGGGCTCTCTTGTGGGGTGCCCTGGCATGTGGGATGATGTGGGATGTGGGATGCCGTGGGGTCTAGGATGCTGTGGGATGTTGTGGGATGCTGTGGGATGTAGGATGCTGTGGGATGTGGGATGCTGTGGGATGTGGGGTGTGGGGTGCGGGATGTTGTGGGGATGTGGGGTGCTGTGGGGATGTGGGATGCTGTGGGATGTGGGGTGCAGGATGCTGTGGGGATGTGGGATGCTGTGGGGATGTGGGATGCTGTGGGATGTGGGATGCTGTGGGATGCTATGGGATGCTGTGGGATGTAGGATCCTGTGGGATGTGGGGTGCAGGATGCTGTGGGGATGTGGGATGCTGTGAGTTATGGGATGCTGTGGGCTGTGGGATGCCGTGGGCTACTGTGGGCTCTCTTGGCCTGTGGGCTATGGGATGCTGCAGGATGCTGTGGGATGCGGGATGCTGTGAGCTATGGGGTACTCAGGGCTGTGGGATGCTGTGGGCTCTCTTGGGCTGTGGGATGCTGCAGGATGCTGTGGGATGTGGGATGCTGTGAGCTATGGGGTACTCAGGGCTGTGGGATGCTGCAGGATGCTGTGGGATGCGGGATGCTGTGGGATGCCTGCGCTACGGGATGCTGTGGGACGTGTGGGGTGCCACACAAAGCAGCGCTGGCCCGATGCGGTGCAGGAAGGCTGGATGCCGACACAGCTGTGAGCAGGCAGGCCCAGGGTGCTGGCCCGATGCCACACGCCCGGCCAAAGGGGCTTTTGCCTCCCAAGACCGTGGGTGCTCAGGGCTGCCCTGTGCCGGCCGTGCCTGCGCTCTGCCTGCAGCGCCAGCTGAGGGACTGTGCTGAGTTAAGTGCTGCAATGCTCTTAGCGTAGCACGGGGCTCCGGGAGAGCAGGGCCCGCTGCCAGCCAGGTCCTGGTGTCACCCGCCAGCCCCCGGCTGGCACTGCCCCAGGGAGAGCCAGCCCTGGGACCACTGCTTGCCCACAGAACCAGGGCCTGATCCTGCTCCGGGGAGGTCAGCAGTGGAGCTCCAGTGAGGGGAGGTGCGGGAGTGAGGGCTCCGGGAGGGAACAATGCACCGCCACGAGCCCAGCTATTGTTGTGGGATGCGAAGGTCACGGAGCTTCCCTGGGGACAGGGACATGGGAAAAGGGGAGAAGGTGGGAAAAGAGGCAGGAAAAAGGAATTGTGAGTGGGGGGGAAGGGACAGTGGGCAGGGATGGGGACAGGACAAAGGTGGGACGGGGATGAGGGCAGGGAAGAGGGGACAGAGATGGAGACAGAGAACAAGGGACAAGGGAAAATACAAGGGAAAGGGGTTAGCGGGAAGGGATAGAGATAAAGACAGGGAAGGAGGGACAGGAATGGGGAGAGGGAACAAGGACAGGAACAGGGAGCAAGGATAGGGACAGGAGAAAGGGGCAAAAACCAGGGAAAGGGACAGGGCACAGGGATGGAGACAAGGGAGAGGGGAGAGGGATGGGGACAAGAACAGGGACAGGGATGGGGACCCCCGCCCCGCAGCCCCATCCTTTGCAGGCCCTGGGGGCTGGCGGCGGGGAGACAAAGGCGGTGGGAGGCAACGGTGTGTCCC